TTTCCCTAGCATGGAATACTTACCCTAATTCAATTCTCCTTACCATTAAAAATCATAAGTAAAATTAAAGTTTATGAATAAAATAGCAATTAAAAATACAGCTTTCCCTGAGAGAGGAAGACAAAATAAGAGAAAGAGTCACATGTGGTTGATGTTGCTTACATTGCTTAATTCACTGCTGGAAGATATATACACACCACAGGGATGGAAGTAGTATAGGAGGCAGGGTAATATAAACTGGATTCCAAGTCTTTGTTTGTTATTTTTTTCCAGGGGTTATAGCATAGATAAAAGATCAAAACCAAAAGATTGTGTTGGTAGTTTTGTTTGGTCTTTGGGGTTCCGTTTGGTTTTTAGCTAAGCGTACGTTTTGCAGTTCAGTTCCTATTTTTGTTTCTCATTAAACAGAATCTTTCTTGTGCTGGAGCTGAGTGCCATTTAGTGAGCACATTCACAAATTATTCATCTTTCTTGATTTGTTTTGCTGTGTTTTTTTCCCCTCTGGAGATTTATCTTGCTTTCTCCAAGACTTCCCACCATTCTACCTTTCATTTGCCATTTACAAAGTGGAACGCCAACGTTGGTATGCAAACAAAGAGAATGAAACATGCCCTTATTAAAATATGGAGCAGAAAGAGCCAGAAGTGAGAGTAGATTGCCAAGTAAATATCTTTCTCCTGAATCTATTTGTAATATGTTGCCTTGTCAGTATTGCTAAAAGGAGTTAGGTTTACTCTGGGGACCTGAGGAGCCTTGAATCCTATTTCAGGGCTCAACTCTGCATCCTCTGAAGTTAATTTAAGCAAAGATTCTATTCATTATAGTGGTACAAGATTAGGGCCCTAGGCCCAGAAACAGATGTTACATTTGTATCTGGACAGTTTGAGCCCATGTTGGTCTCAGAGCAGAAATATCTTGGGATTGGTGTATACACACATCACCCTTCTAATCAGGGTTTAGCTGAGTGTGTTGCTGCTTTTCCACCATGAATGCAATGAGTCAGTCTTGGGATAACTGTTCAGATACATTTTGAGATGTCCTGGGATAAACTATTTGGGCATGTCTAGATGCGTGCAGTTGTGTGGTATGTGGCACTGCAAACGTGTATACTGCACAGTCCTGGGTTCTCCGAACTGCAAGGGCATGCTGGCCAAATATGCAATGCTCTGTTTTTGACCCTGCATTTTTTTTGACCCCTGGATATCCAGGGTTTAAAAAAAACTGCAGAGAAGAAACCTGATGCAGCTTACACTCAGGCAGCATGCACTGCTAAGGAGCGGAGCGAGGCCACTCAGAGCCACACTGTGGCTGCCAGCCAGGCTCCACCTGGCAGGATCACTGTGGCTGCAGCTCTGGGAGGCCCCTAGAACCCCAGGTAAGGCTGTTGGGACCAGCACAGTGCTGGCCCCAGCCTCCCCTACCCCACCCGGGGTAACTTGCCACATATCAAAGCACACATGGCACAGGCATTCCCTGGGGAACCAAATGTTCACACATGTCTGGATGCACCCTTAGTGCTTCTCGTCCTGTGAACCTTTTCAGGATTTTTTATAGGACAATGGATGAGGACATCTGAATGACTGTACTTTGTTCTGAGATAAAATAGATAAATCCTCAATTAAGTCCCAGGACAAATGTGGCACCTGTTTGTAGAGTAAGAGAGTAAGATCTAAGGGCACCTATGCAGGAGTAGCGAGCCTGCTCTGACATTCTGTAATTACAGTGTGTCAGAGCAGACTTGATTAATCATGCTTCAGCAAACTCCAGTGTCTCATATATTAGCATCCCTGCACTGAAAAATGGTGGTGGGGGCACTTTAACTAAAGCTTGTTTGATGAGCTTTAGATAAAGTGCCTTCGCTGCTATTTTTCAGTGTGCGGACACTGCTACGAGATGCTCCGGGCACTTTAATTAGAGTGGGTCTCTGAACTGCTCTAATTAAAGTGCCCCCCTCACCTTCCACTCCCAGAGCCTGTGTATTAACACCCTAAGAGAGTAAGATCTGAGGCATGCTTAGCACCTCACATTCAGGAAACAACACCAGAAGCTAATACCTTAGTATCAAAGTAAGAATCCTTTTTGCAGTTTTCAGCTGAAATCTGCAAATGACTGTATCACTGAAATTATTTTATACTCTGAGGCTAGGGATAGACATTACACATAAATCAGTTTAAGTGATCAGAAACTGGTATAACCTGTAACAGAACAGAAATTCAGTGCACATAAACCAGTTTGAAATGGCTGAAACTGGTTTGAGATAAACTTGGTTGAATATAATATCAGACTTAACTGATTTGGCTCAAACCAGTTTATGCAATGTCTGTCCCAGACCCCTTCCTGGTTTAACTTAAACCAGAGTCTCCCAGCATCTGAGATGCTTTGCAGCCATAGGCAGGGCTCTCTGCTTCAGAGCAGGGCTGGCCATGAGCCTCTGCCTGGATTCCGTCTACCCCCCCACTTCCTGCTCAAGCAGGCATTTCCCCCTCCCTTCTCCCACAGTACGGACCATAGCCAGTATGTGGTATGCTAGTTAATGCTGAGAGATGTCTGTGTAAGGTAGACAGGACAGTGTCCGCTTAGGGCTTTTTGGAGCTAATCAACAGGTCAGCTGGTAATGTCCCTCCATTCCTTCCTTGGAAAAAGTTGTTTAAGAAGAGCTTGAACTAATGAGAGAGGCTTTTGTTTTCTTGATGGGGTGCTAAATGCTCTGTTATCAACTCCCTGCTGGCTCCTTGAGGGGGGGGTGAACCCCTCCCTAATTAGAGCATCCTGCCAGGGCCTGGCCACACTCCTCCTCAGCTCAGCACTATGGAAGGGAAGGGAGGGGAGGGCTGCTCTAGCACCCCCTGGCTTCTAGCCTGAGCCACTGCAGGCATGTGCCTGCATTTTTCTCAGTCCAGAGGGAATGCCTATGTGATTACAAACCAGTTCAGCCTAGCCAGGTTAAACTAACCTGGATCAATTCAGGCTCAGGCTTTTTGAACATCTGTCCCTAGGCTGTGTCTTTAAAACTGAGGACTAGGAGAAACTGAGTAATTGTAAAGTGTTTTCTTGAAGTCATGAGCAACTAATTATTAGGCCATTGCATGGTTATAAAGTAGGCTTACGGACCTGAGCTAGCTTTAATCGAGATACCACAAATCATGGGCAACTCGTGCCCCCCCACAGCGACCAGTCAGTGACAGCCAATCTCGCTGACTGGAAAGTGACTGTGGCACTCCTGGAAGTGGCCGCAGTGCTTCATCTGGTGCTCCCACTCCCCAGCTAGTGCTCTCAAGGGAGCACCGGCGCTCCCACCTGCCCCTCCTGCCCATCGCCTAAGCGGGGAGCGTGGCCTGTCAGGGGGTGCACCAGCACTCTCAGGGGTGCACGTGAGCCCCTTATGCATCACCACTGACACAAATAACAACACTAGTGAAGATGTAACAGCTTGCACCTCACTGCAAGCTGTACAAGCCTGACAGGGCCCCTAGGTGGGTAATTGGATAGCCAATCTGTGCTGTCAGGTATTTACTATCAAACAGTCTTGATAAATTTAAAGAGAAGCCAGGTATGTCTATCCACAGTGCAAGCACATATTTGTTTGGCTGTATAGAAGTACCCTTATATAATAAAATATAAAGATCTGCCAAACAAAAAAGTTTATGTCACAGTATGAGTTTTCTTTTACTTTAAAACCATTGTAACACATCTGTGTTGAATGGGTTTGAGTGCTCAACTTAATTAAGGCGTGGCTGTGTGGCATAAGAGTATATTGAGGTTAAAATCCTGTGTATATTTTATGAGACCTCTTTTTTCTGTCATTCAGCACTGATACTGTATTCCCTTTCAACCATTTTCCTCCCTTACATTTGCTGTCTCTTTCTCTCTGAGGGCCAGACTGTAGCAGAATTACCCGGAACGTGCTCTCATCTCTAAATGTTACATTGACATGTCTTTCACTAACACTGCAGCAGTCGGCCTGAGCAAGTGTTTTGGGACAGCATGTTCTTCTGCAATGGAAAGAATATTGCAGACAAAGAATGCTGTCACAGCCTATTTAGCAAAAGATTGTTAGTTCTTGCCCACCAGTCTGTGAAAGAAGAGGATTTTCTCTGTTGGTCTCTTCATTTTTTCCTTTTTTAATTTTTTTAATCCTCTCTCTCCTCCTGCTTGTTAGAAACTTCCTGGAATAAATTTCCTAGTATGGACATTTCCTGTTCATCCTTACATCAAAAGCGATTCAAACACCAGGGTTGATCAGCTGAGCATCCTTGGGCCATCGCACAGTATTCATGGAGAGGCAGTACAATTTCAAAGCCATGCAGAGGAGGAGGAGAAGAGGAGGAGATGCATGCATACATTATCTTCTTTGATAATGGGTTTGCGCACACAATGTGCTTCCTCTTCACCATTCTGAAATGTAACCTCTAAATGCCCTTTGCTGATGCAAGGCAGATGGGGAGGAAGCTCCTTTCTATTAAGTCATCAGCTAGACAGCAATAAAATGGGGAGCTTGTGCTGATGGTTAGTCATCCCTCAGGATCAGGAGTTTATGAGCTAGATTTCAGGATGTATGGTCCATAGAGAACAAGTGAGATGGACAGTCTGGGTTTGTGCTGAACACTTTCTCTCCTTTTGCTTTAAGGATGGACTTACTCCACTCCACTGTGCTGCACGAAGTGGGCATGATCAAGTTGTAGAGCTTCTTCTGGAACGAGGTGCTCCACTGCTTGCAAGGACGAAGGTGTGTGTCTTATTAGAAGAACAAGCTTACATCGTAAAATTCTTTCAAACTAATTATTGGGGCATTGAAAGGCTGAGGAGGGCTTTTAGAGACATGCCTCTCACCCCCAGGGAATGCCTAGGACTTGATGGATAAACAGTTTAAAAAAGTGTACAAAAAAGAAACTATTTTTCTTTTAGAAATGGTACTGCCATCTTCAAATAAGGAGAATTGGAATTCATGAGTGAACCACCCCGCTGTTTTTATGAGGGCAGGTTTCCATACATGATAGACAATTTCATAGTTTCACAGTAGCTTAGTAGCTTTTATAGGTTCAATGTTTTGGTATTCTTTCTCATCCCATAGGTTAGGAATTTACTAATGTGGCATCCTAGGATCATGGAAAGGAGACATAGGATAAAGGTGTCACCTAGGCCCACTCATCCAGTTTTTCTGTGTTGTTTGTTTTGGGCTAGTTAGCTCCAAGAAATAAGAGTTTCCCACATTTCATGGTACATTATTCCATACTCTTTTGGTTATTTTACAGTATTTCCACTAGTGAATATAGCCACTAGGTAATTCTGTTTAATAATAATAAAAAATCTTTCCTCTTTCCTCCTATCAAATTCCCTTCCTCAGTCAGGAGAAGCATATATAATACAAATATAATACCTAGTTCATTTAGTGCTTCCCACCAGAAGAACAGAAAATAATTTACAATGCAAGTCAGTATCATTATCCCCATTTTACAGATGGGCTATAGGGAGAGAAGACATGCAGCAAGATCACTGAAAGAATCAGGAATAGAACCCAGGTCTTCCATAATCCTACTTGGTGCTCTGTCCATTTGTCAATGATGCCCCTTCTACAATACATCAAACAGTGATAGAAGCAGATGTTAGACAGCCATATTAATTAAATGCTGTGGTACCCTAGACTGTCCAGTATCTAAATACAATTAGAGATTGTCCCTTTGTCTTTGTGTACCTTTCATAATAAATTATACCCAAGTAGGTTGTGCATTCCCTTACCATAGAGGTAATATTGTCTCTATATGTAGGGTAAAACCAACATATTAAAAATATGGTACCATTTATGTTTAGAAATTAGAGCTAGTTCAATAAGTGGCAAATTACCATTTGATTAATCACAACTTACAACTGGTCATCACCATATTTACTCAAATACCATGCACATTTTTTTCCTAAAACTTTTTTCCTCTTCCCCTAACATTTTCCCCAAATTAGGGTGTGTTCTTAAGGGTAGATACTGATTTCTGGTGCCAATTTGGTAGTGGTTGTGAGAGGTTTAAAACTGCAGCTTTAGTAATGATCAGGATCCATTCATGTGGTCAGGATCCCCTTTGGTCACAGAACAGTCTTTCAGGTCCCTGGCAGGGGGCTGGGGTGGTGTGGGCAATAAGGCACATGGTTGACTGCCCAGACGTCTCAAGTTAAAGGCCATAGGAGAAGTGCTCACAGTGCAGCCTGTTGGATTCCCGTGAATCTACAAATTCTGCTAAATATCTTGTCACCAGGACTTAAAAAAGGAAGGAAGACCCCTGGACAGATCTTACCACAGGTGCTAAAAATCAGTCATCCTGCCATGCTAGACATGTGTGGTATAAAATTTGTCTGACCCCAGTTGTATCACTGCAGGTGCATGGAGAGCTGGGCATTGGGAACTAGTCCGTGGTGCCTCATTTCCTTTGGTTCTCTTTTGACTTTGCAGTGCACAGCAAGTTGAAAACTGCATTGTGTAGCCCTCCATCAAGCTGTACTATGTTGCCTTAGGTGCCAGCATGTGGAAAGCTCATTAGCCCTGTAGGGCTGCCCTACGTGGCTTTCATTTTTCTGGTGCAGGGAGTGTAGGTGCAGCCTGATGCGTGGCTGTACTGTGTAGGAAGCCCATCAACATCTAAAGCGGCTATGCAGTCCAATGCCAAATGTGCCAAATGTTCAATTAAAGCATGATGCAAACCAATCACAAAGATGTTCCACATTTAATGTGGGAGAGCTTTGTGTTTTGTTTGCCATTTTATTGCACCATAAACTGACAGTATGTGTGGCATGTTACAATTTATTGTACAATTAACATGCTAATTGTTCACTAAATAGAACATCTGCCAGGCCCTCAGAGTAATTAAAATAAATTCTTATTTATGGAACCATAAAACAACACAGTATGGTTCTAGTGTTTAAGCTATATTCTGAGTTTGCTTAATATATTGTGTATCCCTAAATTCACTGTACATTATCTATTGGATCTGGAATATATTTTCAGTTC